GGAGAACATCGTCCGGGTGCATCTGTTCCGATTGCATAGCCTCTCGTAGGCACTGTGTATAGCTGGTTGATCGTGATCCAGTGCTTCACCTTTCCTCCAAATTCTTTGAAACATAGATCAGCGTAATCTTTGAAATCTTGTCTGTACATATTATAATATAAAATCCTTTCAGTGATACTTGTACAAATCCTCTTTTTTTTAAAAAAAAATTAGTATTATATAAGAAGCAAGGCACATACATGATCTGGCGGTCCAAGAAACCTTCATACTCATCTTGGAGAGTTTGAGGAAGGTCCCAGTGAAAGAGGGTAACGAAAGGTGTTATATTCCTCTCTAGGAGGGCGTCTATGAGTTTGTGGTAGTAATCAAGACCTCCCTTGTTCACTCCCCTACTCACCTTTCCTTCTGCTCATGTATATTTATATCGTACAATTAAAACTCTTCCAACTATATTGGTTTTAAAAAACAAACTACGTACATATAAATATATACATTGATAGATAATCTATACATACTTGGAATGATTCTTGACCACGCAAAGGAGAATCTGTAGCCAGTAGCATTGAGTTCGCCCATAATTTCTACATCTTTCTGCAGATTTCATATTTTAATCATATGTCAACGCACACTTAGTTTTTATACATAGTTCAGTCATGAGTATCTATATATATATATTTACTGAGGAATTAACCTGCCATCTCGTATATGACTCACAAGTAGTGTCTCCGTTCTGCAAATCTGATCCTGATTTCTCTGATAGTAATTACAAATACATTAATATTTGTACATATAAACCGACATTCATCTCATATATATGTCACCGTGACATATATACCTGGGTATCGGTGACTGAAGCCATCCCAAACGTTAACACCACGACCCCTCCCTCCTTCAATCTGAAATGAAAAGAAACACAAATAAAAAGTTGGATATTAGTGTTTTTAGTTGTATTTATTTATACGTCAAAAGTATATATGGCAACATTTGTTACATGCCTGGTAAGCAGAAGATGCAACACCGAAGATGAAGTCTTTTGCGAAGTTCTTACTGCTTAATATATCAGTGTTACCACATGTGAATGGATTGTTCTCTTCGCAAGTAATTTCTTCACCAGCGTTGCAACTCGCAGCAGCTAATAGAAAAACTAAAGCGAGGCCATGAAGAAGCTTCATGGTTAGTATGTTGATGTATGTGTTGTGTTGTATGGAAGCTTGTGCCACTCTAGGGTTTATATAGCCTTCCCTAAAGAAGAGTGACGTATTCATTTTCTTTGTCTTAGTGTCTTGATATTCTGGGAGAGGTTTAGGTGGGATGAGTCCCGTGGGATCACTTACTTTAGCTAAATGTTCACCGATTTTGCTTAATTTTTCTTGCTCGTTTCCACCTTTTTAGTCTTTCTTTTGTGTTTTATTAACTTCCACCCTTTAGTCTTCCATTATCTGTTGCAAATATATTTTTTGTTACATAGCACATATTTTTGTTCCTGTACCGGAAGCAGAATGTATATATCGAAGGTTTGCGTGAATCTAGAACGACGTGAATTATCAAGATTGGTTGTAGCTGATGAATAATGTTCTTTTCTTTTTGAAGCACTGCGTGAATCAGCTGATTGGTTGTAGCTGATAAATAATGTTCAAAGCTTATTATCAATTATTGATTAATCTAGAGTAATACTGATCCAAGGCCACAATGTTCACGAGCCTCACCGCTAACAATCACAAAACATATCAGCAAAAAAAACAATAACAGCCTATCTTATTGGATTTGATTCTTCTGACCTCTCTATATACGCTTTTATCACATGAGACCGGAGTCTCCGGAAGACAAAAGAAAACGAAAACTAACTGCACTTTTTGCATCGTTTCTAGATGATTGGAATGGTTGAAATGCAAGAACCTTGTGTATAATAGCATTTATCAAAAAATTCAATAATTTTTTAGAGATTAACCCATCCATATATTTTAAATAAAGTAGAAAATATCATATTTTTATTTTAATGAATTGCTTCATCGTGCACTAATAGTATGGAGAACAAAGACGGTTGAGATATAGGGTGTTTCCATTTCTCCAAAAATAGAGGTTTTATAGGGGTTAATCCACTTATTAGATGGTACATGAAATTTAAATAAATTATTCATTGAAAATAAGAAATGATGCCATGTACCATAAAAATAAGTTTAGCATACATATATATTTAAATTTATAGTGTGTTTAGGTATTTTTAAACAACACAAAAGAGACTAAATAATATAGATAGTATTTATCAAAAAATTCAATCTTTCTGTAGGGATTAACTGACATATTTCAATATAAATTAGAAAATTTGGAATATTTTTAATGAATAGATGCATCAAGCACTAGCATAATATGAAGATTAAATTGTTTAAGACCTTAACTATTCCCATTTCTCTAGAAAATAGATATTTTATAGGGGTTAGTACACTAATTATATTGTATAGGAAATTTAAAAAACTTATTAGTTGGAAAATTAGAAATGTTGTCCATGTACCATGAAAATATGTTTAGCATATATTAATATGCATTAGAGTGTGGTTAGTTATTATTATAAAAGCATTATGAGGCTAAAATTTAGTATATATATTATTTTTTTGGAAACAAAACTCGATATTTAAGTAAGATAAATTAGAAAATATGGCATTTTTTTAAAGCATAATTTCATCATGCATTTACATATGATGAAAATTAAATAGGTCTAAGACCTTATCTGTCCATGTTTCTATATAAATTTAATCTTATAGGGGTTAGTCCAAATAATTAGGTGGACTATGAGGTTTGATTAAATTACTCCTTAAGACATTAGAAATGATGCTCATGTATCATGAAAATAAGTTTAATGCACATTAATAAAAATGTATAATGTGATTATGTATTTTTTTAATCAACATGAAATAGCTTAAACTTCAATATATAACATTTATCAAAAAAACTCAATTTTTTGTTGAAGTTAAACCACAGATTTCCAGATAAATTAGAAAATACGTTATTTTATTTTAATAAATAGATGCATCCATAATATATATAGGATGAAGATGTAGGATGTCTGACACATTTTTTTGTCTCAATTTCTCTTGAATATAAAAATTTCATTGGTTTTAATATTTTTGATTTACGTTATATAAGTTTTATTAAATTACTCATTAGAAAATTATAAATGATGTCCATGTACCATAAATAAAATTTTGGATCCATTAGTATAAATTTTTCAATGTGGTTAGATAATTTATGCAACACTAAAGAGGCTAAAATTAAGTACAAATAACATTTATCGGAAAACTTTGATCTTTTCGCAAGGATTAACCTTACATATTTCAATATAAATTAGAAAATATGGATTTATTTTATTTTATTAATATCTGAATCTAACACTAATATATGTAGAATATTAAAGAGTTTTGATATCTTTGTTGTCCAATATTCTCTAGAAAATAGAGATTTTATAAGGTTTAGTTTATTGATTTTGGTGGTATATGGAGTTTTATTAAATTATTTGGTTTAAAAATAAGACTGATATCCATGTACCATGAAAATAAGTTTAGTAAATTTATATCAATTTTTAATGTGGTTAGGTATTTTTAAACAAAACTGAATATGCCTATATATATCATTTATCGGAAAACTCAATTTTTTTGTAGGGGTTAACCCACATATTTCAAGATAAAATAGAAAATATCATATTTTTGTTTTTATGAATTCCTGCATCATGCACTAACTTAGTATGGAGAACAAAGAGAGTTGAGACCTTAAGTGATTTCGCTTCTCCCAAAAATAGAGGTTTTATAGGGGTTAGTCCACTTATTAGATGGTATGAAGTTTAAATAAATTACTCATTGGAAAATTAGAGATGATGCCATGTACCATGAAAATAAGTTTAGTATACATATAAAGTTGGAGTTTGGTTAGGGAATTTTAAACAATACGAAAGACACTAAATAGTATTGATCAAAAAATTCAATCTTTTTGTAGGGGTTAACCCACATATTTCAAGATATATTAGAAAATATGGTATTTTATTTTAATTAATAGATGCATCGTGCACTTGAATATTATGAAGATTAAATATGTTTGGGATCTTAGGTGTTGCCGTTTCTTTAGAAACTAGAGATTATATAGGGGTTTGTACACTAATTAGATCGTATATGAAATTTTTTTAAAAATTATTGGTTGGGAAATTATAAATGTTGCCCATGTACCATGAATATATATGATATACCATGATTTTGACCCGCTTTTGGTCATATTTTCTATATGTTTTTATTATAATTATCTATGTTTTGGAGTCTATTAGGTATGTTTTCAGGTTCAAGAGCATTTTGTGGTAAAATGATGATTTAGGTGCCTTTTGGTGCTTAAAGAAGAGTTTTCCAAGATGACTATGAAGATCCGACATAAGAAACACATATTGATCGATACACACCCTGTGTAATCGATTGATGACGCTTCCGTAGAAGTTGAAGTCGAGATACTCCATCGATCGATGTACGCAATGTACCATCGATCGATACAGAGCGTGATAGGCAAGATTTATTTGGCCAACTTGAAGCCCAAGTTCTCACCAAATTACAAGACTTCCCCTGACGAGTTTTTTAACCTAATTGTACTCCCTATTTATAGCTATGCCTATGAGCCTTAAAAGAGAGGAAGTTTTGAACCAAGTTTTCTATTCTATTTTATACTTAGCAATAAAAGCATTTTCTTTTCTTCTTATTCTTTTGCTATGAATCTCTTGGCTATGTCTGAGTAGATTCATATGTTAGATTTGGGGTTCAAATAGTTATGAGGGATTAGCCCCAACTATGGATTGTTGAGTTGTTATATTCATTATCCAAATGAACCCTAATGCTTACTTTAGACTTGCTACCTAGAGTATTGATTNTTCTTTTGCTATGAATCTCTTGGCTATGTCTGAGTAGATTCATATGTTAGATTTGGGGTTCAAATAGTTATGAGGGATTAGCCCCAACTATGGATTGTTGAGTTGTTATATTCATTATCCAAATGAACCCTAATGCTTACTTTAGACTTGCTACCTAGAGTATTGATTATGGAGTGACTAATCTAATAGTCATCTTCCTGAAATCATTTGGCCAAACCCAGACTCTATTAAGGCACGATGCGACAGCCGGTCTGATAGAAGTTCTCGGGTGAACAAAGTTCGATCCGATCTGATACTTAATATCGATCGATACTCTTCTAGAGTTATCGATCGACGACAGCTTATATCGATCGACACTGCGATAGCAACAATATTAACCTCAAAAAACTTGAAACGTAAATAGACTAGAACTGAACTCGGGGGTTCCCGAATGTCCACCCATAGTTTAAAGTTTGTCACACAATGATTAAGGAAAATGAAAGTGTAGAGTTGGTTCAATTTCATAGTATTGAATTTATAATATTGAAATAACATCGGTTAAAAGTATTGATAGCATCGATATAAGTATTAACAGAGGTAAGATAATGAATTGTCTACAGACAATTGATATAAATGAAGATATAAAATATACAGTAAAACTTCTATAAATTAATAATGTTTGGAATACATCAAAATTATAATTTTTTATTAATTTATAGAGATTATTAATTTATTGATATACTAATTGAACCAAGAACTCAATTTGGGACTATAGTATTATATTATTTTATAAAGATTTTTAGTGTATATTAATTTATCGAGAATTAATTTAAAGAGTTTATATTGTAGTTTGGTTTATAATGAAATTATAGTACACATTTATAGATTAATATATTGGTTTAATGATATAATAGATACAAATAAATATTTGAATTGGATGTGGAAAAAAAATTATGGTTGTTAGTAAAAGATTATTTAAGAAAATATTTAATTAAATGTTGAATTAAAAATTAAGATAGACTAAATAATAGAATATCCAACTTTAGAATCCACATAGAAGAAATTGTAATATTTCTGTTTTTATAATATAGATTCTTACGGTACATTAACTACATCATAAAGATACTACAAATAAAATTCTACAATAAACTTTTTGCACCTACAATCCAACCAAATACCTCATAATATATTGCTTATTACTTAAAAAACTACCAATCACACTTTCACGTCCATAATAAAATTCATATGTTGATGACTAGCAAGTGTTTTAGAAGTGTTGTAAAATATTTCTACTCCTTGAATTTTTTTTTAAAGTTACAGTTTTTCTTTTCTTGTTTTAGTTTTAGAGAGTCAAATTTTAGAGCACTTATGTCTTAGCTCTAGAACCAAAAT